TTACATATTTGATATATATATATATATATATATATATATATATATATATATATATATATATATATGGCCTGATGATTGCATCTAGTATGAAACAGGCTGTCGCCTCTAAGTGTTGACTTCAATGTTCACTTTCATATTTACACACGCTCTCTCTGTCTGATATTGAGCACTTTATCCAATAAATATAGCACACCTTAAGATTATATAAATAAATAAATAAAAAAATATATATATATGCACACACACAAACGCACACACACACACACACACATATATATATATACATATATATGTGTGCGTATGTATTTAGAAAAATATGACAAACTGGAAATTATCTTGTGGCGCGTTTCATTCGTTAGGATTTCTTCGGACTAGGCTTTGTTGATTTTGCTACGTCTACACATACGCATGAAACGAGAGAGCCAGGTAATTTCAAAGTTTTTCGATATAATGTTTTGAAAAAAATATTTTTTGTTTCAATGTAGCCAAATTCATCTGAAATGTATTGCTTTTTCTCTTTCTCTCCATCACCCTTTTCCCTGGCTCTTCCCCACCGTGTCAATACCAAATCTACCAAGAATGGTGATATATTGTAAGAATGGTAATTGAAATCAACCTATATTTCGATTTTGTTGGAAGAAAAAATCAAAAAAAAATCAGATCTATAAAAACTATTTTCAACAAAATGTTGACAACTATTTATTTTTAAATTATAATGTTCGAGAGATAACGGAATTTGTATTATATATCCATGCACTGCAACTGCGTTCTTCGTTTTATTTTGAAAACTGGTCATCATATGAAACAAACAGAACGGCATCCATATAACAGTCAAATTTATCTTCTTTTTAAAAGCTATTTCCGGTCGATACTCATATTTGAGTAGACACTACATGTATTTATTAAATAGGACATTCAACGTTCAGGATGGTCAACGAAAATAAAGAAATATACGGTGCGTCTATTCAAATATGAGTATCCACTGGAAATACCGTTTAAAGTGATTAATATATATATATATATATATATATATATATATATATATATATATATATATATACCAAAGGGAAAACTTAACACATCATCAAAGCATTCGATAAGAAATTTATTTCGACCAATATGTTTTAATGTTTCTATGTATTAACATTATTAAAAAGAAGAGTGGGGAAAAGAAAAAGATGAAGAAAGTTGTCAGCACAAATTTTGTCGAAATACATTTATTAGCGAATGATTCGATGATATATTATGTTTTTTTTTCATTTGAAGTATATCATATGCTTTGTATATAAAGATATTGAGCCATTTTCATGGATGTATCTTTTTTATATTTTTAAATTAAAAAGACCTACTTGGAATATCCTAAGGACTTACAGATTTGAGATATTCATTTCTATCTATCTATCTATCTATCTATCTCTCTCTCTCTCTCTATATATATATATATATATATATATATATATATATATATGTGTGTGTGTGTGTGTGTGTTCATATATATATATATATATATATATATAGCAAAAACCTATAAAAGTAAATTTACAGACATTTAATATTATAAATTAATTGATTTAAAATATGTTTTTTTTCAAAGCACACAGTTCTAACTGAACATGTTTTTCAAAATGGAAGCTAAAAGCTCCGAATTTAATTTTGTAATTAAATTAAAGATATTAGTTCAAATTTCATCCTCAAGCGAATTTTGGAGTAACTTTTAAAATTACTGAGTTTTAAAGACAGCTAAAATCATAATTCACGTTTCCAAGGTTACAGATAAATCCACTTCCACTAGTCAAAGGGTGTCTGCGTGTTCATTATGTCTATTTTTGATGTATCAGTTATTATTTACGGTTCGGAGGGAAGGGATGTATTTTCAATGAAATCTAACATCCGTTAAATGCATGTCGTCTGGATTTTTAAAATTTTATTGTTAACGGCAAAAATTTTACGGTTTTTTTTTTTCTATTTGTATATTTAAAGTGGGGGTGTTTAGATTAGAATACGCTCTATTTAACTACGATATGAAATATTTTCACTTTTAATTTTTTTATTTTTTATTATACTATATTTCTTTTAAGAACAATTAAATTTATTAGAATCCTTTAGTTTAGAGTATGTAGAATTATTTTCACATCAAGTATAAGTATGTATATTATTAGGTAACAATTTTTTTTTATATTTAAATATTATTTAAGTAAAATTTATGACAATGACGGCAAAAATAGCTACTTACTTTCACTGATTTATTAAACTTTTTTGTTTTTATATAAACCTAGTAATACATTGTTTCTCATGTAATTATAAAGGACATGGGTCATTCAAAAGTCTGGATTTTTTACATATTCTAGCATTTTTTTTCATATTAATTTCATTTTAGATTAGTAGGTGTTTTATTGATTTTTTTAATATTGCGTGTAGTACTAAGAGGGTGGTCTTTAGGTTAGCAAACGTTTTATTTAATTACAATTTAAAAAGATTTTTAGGTTAGAATTCATTTTTATTTAACTAAATTTTAATTACAACTTTAAAATACGTTCATTGTTAGTTTTAATAGACTATATTTCTTTTTAATAGAAGTAAATGTATTAGAATTACTTACAGTAAGTAAAATTACTTTTCCATATCAAGTATATGTATATTACGATTTAAAAAAAATATATTTAAATATTATTTAAGTAAAATTTATGGCACTTACAAATTCATTTCTCTGAATTAGTAAACTTTATTTATTAATTTATTTATTTTTTTTTTTTTTAGATATCAACTTAGTAATATATAGTTTCACATGTATGTACAAAGGACATGGGTCATTCAATAGCCTACATCTTCTAGTTTTTCGTCATAATTTCATTTTTCAGTATGTGTTTTATTGGATTCACTTAAGTGCCGGTAGTACTTTTTGAGAGGTGTTTAGGTTAGAATAAGTTTTATTTAAATTTTAAAAGATGTTTAGGTTAGAATTCGTTTTAACTACAATTTTAAATACAACTTTAAAATATTTTCACTGTTATATTTATATATATAGAAAACCCTCTACCTTTACATGTGTGTGTGTGTTTATAACCCTATATATGCATATGTGTGTGTGTGTGTGTGTGTGTGTGTAACTATTATCATAAAACGGTATAGCAAAATTGCCAAGTTAGTGCGGTTTCTCCCCTCGGAATTTCAGGCTCGATGGGTTTTAATCTTACAAATTTCTCCCCTCTATATTTAAATACACGGACTTTATATAGAATAAATAGAAATAAGAATAAACCAAAGCATCCTAAAGATACGGCGGGTTGGGTGAAAACGGATGAGCTTGGTAGGAATGTAATATCTTTTAAGATAATATTAACAACTATTTCTCTGCGGACATGTTATTTCGAAAACTTATGGAATTGTATAATTTCGGGGTAGATTTTAGCCATAGTTGATATATGCAAGAGATAAAGATAGATAGATTAATATGAAAAGATAGGAAAATATCAAATAAAAACTTATGAATAAGAAACCTTCAAAAAAGAACAGAAAAGAAATAAACATATAAAAAATTTGCAGACACCTTCGGAAAAAGACATTAATAGTGTTCAATTCCTCAGGAAACCCGAAGATGGAAACAAAACCAGACAGAGTAACAACAATCAAGGGAAACGATAAGTTTGCTAGATGGAGCCATAATTTCTAGAAATTTATCGCTAATGGCAAACTTTAAGTGATTAAGGGATAGATAGATAGATAGATAGATAGATAGATAGATAGATAGATAGATAGGTGAAAATGACCATGTTGATACATAGTGATTTATTGCAGTGGCATCATCAGGGTGTTGCTTTTTCTAAGATGCTAAGAAACTTGTCCATGAATTTGAGAGGATCCTATTTAAAATAAGTACACAGATTCATCTAAAATAATTATCCATTGACACACACACACAGATGCACACACACACACACACACACACACACACACACACACACACACACACACACACACACACACACACACACATATATATATATATATATATATATATATATATATATATATATATATATATATATATATTTCCAAGAACATTATAATAATAATAATAAATGAAGAAGAAAATCTTAAAGATCCATTTTCGGTTATTCTTTATTTCGTGAATCGTCTGTATATTCATCCCATCAGACCGTAAGGTTTCAATAAATGGAACAATTTCCACGGACTGAGATACTAGGTTGACAGGGGAAGGGAAAAAGCAAAGAGAAATGAAGAAAGAATATATATATATATATATATATATATATATATATATATATATATATATAATGGAATATACGTACACCAGTGTTCCCCTCACTGGAATATGATTCAAGGGTGTCCGTCATAAATAATGACAGACGTAGCTACGACAGAGTCAGAGCCCTAGTCTCAGAGCTAAGTCTATAACGACGCCCATTGGACTACGCCATTGATCTACACTTCTTACCTGCGACTACGACGTACCAGTCGATTACTGCTACCATATTCTACTTCTGGTTATAGTAGCCAAAAAACCACTTAACCACTTTGTTCAAATATATCATATATATATATATATATATATATATATATATATATATATATATATATAGGATAATTATTTACATAGGTATCAGCACTGAAAGTCGACCTTAAACACATTCGTAAAAACAAATTATTAGGCCATTTATGCTCTGTTTACACATATAGGTTCTCTACCTGAAACTAAAACTTTTGTCGTATATATATATATATATATATATATATATATATATATATATATATATATGCCATTTCTGTTCTGTCTACACATACGTTTTGTCCCAAAACTGAACACATTCATTGTAAAACCTACAGAATTACGTTTAAAATATATTTTAAACTCATAAACACACATAAACACGCACAAACACACACTTACATACATATACACCCGTGTGTGTGTCTGTGAGTTCATTATCACGTTAGATGGAATGGAACATGGTTGTTAACTTTAAGTATTTTAGCGAGTATGGTGCTTAAAGTGTGGTAAACAGTTTTAATGGAACTTGCCGATATTATCTTGTGATCTCCTCCTAGCTTTGCATTGTGCCAATCTCATAGAACTCTTTGTCAACTTCTTGCTTGGCACTAGACTTGATAAGTGCTACCTCCCTTGGGCACGTGCGACCACTCACCGGTCAATGTCAAAGTTCATTTCACAGCAAAATCTACCGATACGTCAATACTGACTGGGGTAGTTTTATCTTCATTGCTGTATTTCATAACCGATCATTCCCAATTTCCTATCTCAGAAATCTTCATGTATAGATTTTACCAAAAATAGCCTCCCTCGTTTCTGATTGGATTCCTTCAGGCGTGGAAATGTTGATTCCTCACAAAAAAAATATACCAACAAATGCCAAATATTCAGCTCCGTTTCACACTGGGTTTGCAGCCATAGGTCACCCCAGGAAATAGTAACTTCTCTATCAGAAAGAACGTAATACAACAAGTATTGATGTGGGAGCAAGAGAGTCCTGTAAAATGTTAAAAGCATCTATGCACAAGCAATCCGTCAAAAAGTGGAAAAGAAGTAAATTAGCTCCTACGAGCTCTTGAAAATTTTAAATCCAAGTCAAACCGCCAGTTCACTCCATCAGAAATGCTCCTGAAGTTATCTCATTGGCGTAAAATAAAGCAAATACCTTTACAATGGACTTTGCCTCTAACTCCACGCAGGAGGACAAGGGCCATCCTTGTCCTAACTACCAAGTCTCGCAGAACACCAATTTTGCAATATATTTGTATTGGCCTGGGAAAATTTTAGAATTATGAAAAGCATTGACTCTAAATGGCTATTGCTCCAGATAACATTAACGTAGCCTTTCTTAAGAACCTTAGCTTAGTCTTGGCAAAATTGTTTGCTGTCTGAAGAGAAAGCTTTCAAGTTTAATGTAATGTGTAATCTGTGTCCGCAGTTAACAAGAATGCGAGTGAGCGCTGATCCTCGTTGTAATGTCACCCCGTTATCCATCTCAGTGTCCTCGTAAAACATCTTGAAATTATAATCAGCAATAAATTTATAAATCATTTCAACAGTAAAAAAAAACTCCAGAGCTATAATCATGATGGATTTTCCTCCTCTAGCTCATCCGAGATGTATTAATGGTCATAACGCAAAGTGAAGGACTTGATAATAAATCCATCACTTGAATAATCACCTTTGATATCGAGAAGGCTTTTGACAAAGTGTGGCAGAGGGTGTTGCTACAGAAACACCACAGCTATAGCATTTTGGATAAAGCCATATAGACTGTCAATTACTACAACTAGAGTAGGTCTATGAAGGTCGCTGTTAATGACCACGTTCTCTGATGCTCATGAACAAAATTCATGTTATATATTAACGGTATGTCAAAGAATATTCTCAGATGACTAGTAAAAATATATATGCAGAGATTATCATGATTATTGAAAAGCGATCAAAATCTAAATGACCATAACCTAGCAGCTGATCCCAAGTCGGATCAGGGTCGCAGAGATGAATGTGCACGGAACTGTCGTGTGATATTCAATATTTCTGTAGTGAAGTGAGACCAAGAGGCGGTCATGATCGCCATTTGTAATTCTGTCATAGCACCCGTGCGAGACAAAGTCTAAAAAATGATTGTGGTTTGCATACGCGAGCATGTAACTTATATAAATGAAGAGCACGTTTTTTTCAGGACGCAGTTTTTTGAATTGAACGGTTGCAACGGGCAGTGGGTTGTTTGCAGAGAGACGTGTGCTGGGATTTCTTGATAGCAGAGAGACGTGTGTTGGGAATTTTTTGTTAGCGGAGACGTGAGCTGGGATTTCATGATAATGGACGTACGATTCTTGATTGCAACAGATTCCTTCTGTTCCAACCTTAGATTTTAAAGTGTTTTGATTATCAAACTGTTTATCTTGCTTTGAACTTGGATTTTATGTTATTTTTTACTATTAAACAGTTTTCCTTGTTTGAACTTGAAATATTACTTCAAATCGACTACAACATCCAACGCCAAGCTTGCAAGACTGCATCACAGCAGAGATTTGTCCAATACTGATGAACGTTTTTTACTCAATGAGGTTCCTTAACAAAAACGTTTATTCGGACCCAATTTCACGCCAGACATCAAAGAGAACTAGTATGTAGGATCCATTATTGATGCTTGGTTCCGTGTGTAGGTCTTGAAAACACCTCACGTCTTCTGCCCTGCTCTGTCATTACAAGAGTCAGATCAGACTAGTAATAAAGTATTTCTGCCACATCACCGATCGTCCAAATACTGACTTTCTAGTTTTCATCGAGTTCAAAAGCGTTAGATTGGCAGTGTCAAATCACACTTTATCCACATTCCGACAGATAAAACTTTGCTAGCCGCTACCTTCTCTAGCGCCAGTTTTATGGCAGATTTTCGACTGAAATACATTCCTTGGTTACACCAGCTCAAACCTTTCCAAGAAGGACTCACAATACAGAATACATTCAGTTCACGCATCATCATCCCTTTCATATTCTGTATTCATATACCTTCGTTTCATAACGGACTCCCGTGTGGATGCTTCCATGAAGAATTCAATTTTAAACATTTCAGGTCGAGCGTCAACCGTTCCTACCCTCATAACATGCAAACCTTGCTATGTCTCTATACATCCTTAAAATCTACATTGAGTGGCTCTGATTTCTTGTACTGGGCAAACCAAAAATTAGAAAATGTACCAAAAGATTTAAACAAAGGCCTTTGTCGTTTTCAAGTTAAGACACTACAACGATTTGATAGCAAGTGTAGTCTTAATTACATATATTCTTCGATATTTGAATATATATATATATATATATATATATATATATATATAATAATAATAATAATAATAATAAAATAATAATAATAACAAGCAATTAACATCACTCGCCAAAAATATGACATTTGGCGAGAGAAGCTCTTGCAACAATGGAAAACTATAGACAAAAAAAATAAGTAGCCAATGTAAGAAGGGACATCATCCGAAAGTTGATTGACAGAGCGTGAAATTAAAATAAAAAGAATTGCAAATGAATAGATGAACCAACAAAACATGAAAAGGAGGAATCGGGAAAATCCTTAACATCAACTACCAGGTCATAATGAAAAACCAAATACACAATATACTTTGAAGATAATGCTGAAAATTTAGAAATGTTGGAAAGGTATGACTCTAAATGGCTATAAAACGAGTTCAAAATTCATCGAACAGAATTTTTTCACAGAAAACAAGATTAATAGTCAAGAAGCCAAAGATGTTTGCTGTCTATAAGAAAGCTTTCAGAGTTTAATGTAATGAGAAATGTGTCCAAAATTAACAACCATGCAAAGCATGATCCTCGTTGTAATGTAACCTCTATAATCCATCTCTCAAATTGATTCTGGATGAAGAAACATCTATAAATTATAATGAAGCAATAAATTTATAAATAGCAGCAACAAGTAAAAAAAACTCCAGAGCTAAAAAAGATGGATTCACAGACATGAAGCTCATCCGAAATGTAAAAATGGTCAAAAGAAAGTGAAGGACTTGATAAGAAATCCATTATCAATAATCGATGAACTAGCAAGAGGAGTAAATGCTTTTAAGAACTAGAAAAGGCAGAAGTGTTGAAAGAAAATACAATATCAGGAATGAAAATGAAGTCATTTTTGGATAAAGAAAAAATAAAGCAATTAATACAACTGAAGGCTCAAAGAATAAGAAGGTCGCTGTTAAAGATCAAGATTCTGATGCTCAGAACAAAAGATCTATATATTAACGGATGTCAAAGAAATTTCTCAGGGAAATAGGTAAATA